TAATTTTAATTCATGCTGGTTATTACCTATTTTCCTTTATATCTTGCATTTCAAACTATCCAGTATAGAAATAACAGTTCATTACTATTATGTGGTTGCTACTCCAGGAAAATAATGAGTTAGTAGATCACTGATTTATTAACCAACTCTCTTGCATATGTGTTTATTTTAATAATGGCTTTTCCTGGGAATCTGACTCTCTTTCTGTCTCTCCCCACTCCCCTTTTCTTTTCTTTATTATTTGCAGAAATAGACTTCCTTCAAAGGAAACAAATGCTCCTGCAGTCCTATCCAAGCGTTTTTCCTGCTCTTCAGAGAACTGTGGTCAGAATTGGAAGAATTTCCTGAGTTTCTCTGGGTTCTGATTACCGCGTTGGTCTCTAGAGATACAGTGTCCAGAGAATAACTGATACTAAAAGTGGACACCAGGTTTACACTCCAGAAATTCCCAGGTGCACTGAGCAATATAACCTTGGACAACTTAGAAATGTTACTTTGAGTAGAACTTTTTAAGAAATACTTCTGGGAAAATAGTTGCTCTTTATGATGCTTCCCTGTATATATGTAGCTCTTTCAGTGCAATGTTTTTTAGATGTAATATAAAATTATGACATCCTAGAGAAAATATATGCATGCTGTTTTAACAGATATTTCAATTCTTGTTTGCTTCAAGTATGAACAGGTAAAAGACAGTTCTATCAGCAATTGAAATGCTAAGCCATTTTCTTACGTAATGAATAAATATTTTATTATAAATACAGATAAGTTTGCAGAGGTCTTTCAATTTCACAATCTTTGGAAAATTGTGCAATTATCTTCTTGGAAATGAAAGGGACACAATCATGAGGACATTTTTTGAGAAATGACAGGTTTTTGACTCATTAATTTCTATGCATCTTGTATTTCAGGTGTAAATTCTAGGAAAAAGTTAGCAGCTATAAAACTGAAGATGATAAATGAGTAACTAAGACGTTTTCCTGAGTGACGTAAAACTGATCTGAAGCTCACCAACAACTGATGTGCAGGTAATCATTCTCGTGAGCTTTGCTCAAGGAATGTTAGATCTACTTGGTGTTTATTCTGTTAGTTAGCGGTGTGCATTTTGATATGGATCATTAGAATCTGAACAAGAGTAAAAATATTTTTGCTAATGTTTGGTTTCTTTGTGTATTGCAAGCACAGTTCGAGTTTTGAATAACACATCTAAAACTAAGTAAATCTTCAGGTTTTCAATAGTATTCCAGATTCCAATCTTTGGAAAAAAAATCCCCAGCTTTCAAATATCAATCTGCTAAAATGATCTAGATTTACTGAAGTCGGGAAAGGTAAGTTTGTGGTGAAGGCATATGCTAATGTCACCAGTGGAAAAGCATGCCTATCATGAAACTACTTAACCTACAGGAGTACTGACAATACCTTAGAAGAAGTGATTAGAACTATTCAGGGAGGGGCTGGGGATTTAGCTCAGCGGCAAAACGCCTGCCTGGCAAGCACAAGGTCGTGAGTTCGGTTCCCGGTACCGGAGAAAAACCAAAAAAAAAAAAAAAAAAAAAAAAAAAAAAAAAAAAAAGAACTATTCAGGGATACTACCAAGGGTGAAAACTGGCTTTTAAATTTAGTTTTGATAGTACAAAAAGTTATTATTTAAAATTAAATGTTAAGAAATTTCATAGTACTGATTCTTTCTTTCTTTCTTTCTTTCTTTCTTTCTTTCTTCTTTCTCTTTCCTTCCTTCCTTCTTTCCTTCCTTCCTTCCTTCCTTCCTTCCTTCCTTCCTTCCTTCCTTCCTTATTTCTGTTTCTTCCTTTTTTCTTTTCCTTCAGTTTTCTTCTTTTCTTCTTTCATTTCCTTCTACATTCATTCCTTCTTTTTTTCTGAGCATCGAAACATAGTTCACATGCAGCCTATTCAGATTTCCCTTCTGAAATCTAAGTTACCTAGGTTATTGCTTCTTTTTGTTTACCACAAAACCTTTTGTTGGAGGTGTCTATTTGAAGGATGACTTAGAATGTTATCAATTAATGCACTGAAAGAAAAAGCAGAACAAGGAAAAGATAAGTAATTTTTAGTTATGTGTTTTTTATTCTCCCAAGGGATTAAATATCATAATATCATGCCCAATTCATTGTTTCTGCAAATGGTGTATTTCAGTTTAATTAATGCTGAAATTCAAATTTAGAAAAGTTAAACTATCCTGCATGAACAAAACAGCTTTATGAATGAAGAAATTTATAATAATTTAAATTACGTACCCTAAAATTTATCATAAATAATAACAGAAAGTGAAATATATGAAACAGTTGTTGAGAATATGTATATAAAATAATTGTTAGGAGTAAGTTTTACAGCTTGTCGAAGTCTCTGCTGGATGATTGCCATCTCCTGCTTCTCTGGAAATTCTGTATAGCTTTGAAATCCACTGCCATATAAAATTTAAATCAAAGATTGAAACTTATATACGTAGCCAAATTTCAATTCATGTATTTCACCTAATGGCAACTATATGGATTTGTAGACATGATGACTGATGTTGTGTGTATATCATCAAAAGTTTGCTGATACATAGACAATGCTTGCATAAAAATTGCTATTAATTTCATTTTATTATTTTGTTTTAGATTTTTCTTCATTGATCTAATAACACACACGCACTTCTACTTAATAATGTGTTCTTTTCCCTCCTCAGGCGTAATGACATAAAAGTTTCAAAAATACCCCTTCATTTCCTAATTCCAATTCCTATCACCTAAAGTTGTTCTTAACTCTACACTACTAATATTTCCAAGAGTGAGAGGGACTTGCCTCTGTAAGTGTATAGGTTTGAATATTAACAGCTATCTGGCTCTAATTCAAAGTCTAAAATTATGTAAAGGTTTCAAACAGAACAGAAGCTACAGCACACATTTATCCTTAGCACTCTGGAGATATATTGGGCAGGTTTATTTTAATAATGGCTTTTACTGGGATGACGCGTTTTACAGAGCGTCATCTTTAAAGACATGAGAATTATGGGGCTTCTCCTACTGCTCTGCGTTGGAAACATCTCCCAGGGTTTACAGCAGGCAACTGAAGAAGAATTAGAGCATCTACTTTTCAAACTCTATAAATCAAGGGCTAGGGATATAGCTCAGTGGTATAAGCACCTGCCTGGCCAGTGCAAGGTCCTGAGTTCAATTCCTGGTACCACAAAAAAATAAATTATGTAAATAATTAAATCTCCAATCTGGGCAGTTCATTTAGTTGGTAATTGGTTCTTTCTATACAGGAAAGAATATATTTGGGTTAGATGGATATTTTAATTCTTAAGTCATTCTAGTGACTAGACATTATTGAAAATATTTTAAGTTTACCTGTGTTTCATTTGCATCTATATAAAGGAATCCAAAATATTATTTTTGTAATTGAGGGACCACTTGCAATGATAATTGTGCCCATACATTTTAATAAATTAGAAAAACTTATTAAATTTGATGGAGTTCCTGTAACTTATACACAGTTTTAAAGATAAGACATATTGTCTTCATACTATAGTGATTAGAAAGTTTGAGGGGAGGGGCTGGGGATTTAGCTCAGGGGCAAAAGCGCCTGCCTGGCAAACGCAAGGTCATGAGTTCGGTTCCCGGTACCGGAGAAAAACCAAAAAAAAAAGAAAGTTTGAGGGGGATATTGACAGAGAATAATCAAGTTGAGACAGTCCCCTCTTGGAAAAAGCTAACCTTATTGCCCTCTGCACATTGTTGCAGTACAAGTTCTATAATATGAATAAATGGGTTCTCTGGGGCCAGACATGGCTGCCACAAGTAGTCTGGGAGTAAAGCAGAAAGATCGTGTGAATACTGGTTAATATCTCAGCACCGGGGAGATCAGTACTCAGAAGCACTATCTGCAGTGCACCCGTCCATTGTCTTTGTGTGAATTCTGCCCTGATCTTATGAAGAATTACTTATGCAAAGCCACAATAACCATTAATAATCAACAGAGAACAGCCAAATGATTCCTGACCACAGCTTACACTGACATTGTATAATATCTTTCATTCACTTTAGATACCTATAATTTATTTTAGTGGAACTTGTTAATTGCCACAGATTTTAAATTACCTGTTCATTTCCATTACTTTTTTATATCTCTATAATATTAATACTATTGAGTCTACAGTTTTCCTGGAGATATGTTTTGCACACTAAAGTTTAGAGAAGAAATATGTGCAAACTATCTTGATTTTTTTTCTCAAGATGTATTGACCAAAGCCTTCAACTTTTTTGCTCTACCTTCATTTTTCCTTTTACCTTGCAACACAAACATCAAAATTGTGTTCTTCAGTTTATCGTGCAGGGACCACAGTGAGGCTCTTACCCTTGTGTTTTGAAGTACATTATCCACCAAACACACAGCTCAAGATTTAAGGAATGAAAAAATCACAAATATGTTCCCTGATTATATGTCTGCAAACAGTTTGGGGACCTGCTTTGTCACTCACTGGTAGAAGGGCCCATCACTTAAACTGAAAACCCTGTGAACAAAGAATAAAACTAAAAAGTACAAATTAGATAAATGTCCAACATTACATTAAGAATTTTTCATATTTCTCCATGTTAAATATTAATTCTAGAACTTCTTTTATTTTGAAATGGCAATTTTCAGTCATTTTCACAATTTAATATATTGTATTCTTAGTATTACCAATATGATGAATGGCTTGGGAAGTTTTTCAAACACAGCTAGTAGAGAAATTAGAAGAAAAGGAAATATTATTAATAGGTTCATTTATCTTTTTTTTTGTTTTTTTCCGATACTGGGAATTGAACTCATGACCTTGCGCTTGCTGGGCAGGCACTGTGCCGCTGAGCTAAATCCCCAGCCCCTAGGTTCATTTATCTGTGAGCTTCTGTGATTTGTTTGAGCAGCTTCTGTGACTTTTTGGTAGTCTCTATCACGATTGTGATCCTATTATAAATGCTCTGATCTAAATTCACTTTTCCTCAGATAATTACCTGTGCGTTGCATACCATATATGGAAAGTCAGACAAACATATCGGAATTCATTCTCATGGGTCTCTCTTCTGATCAGAACACACAAATATTTTGCTTCATCTTCTTCTTGTTTTGCTACCTGGCCATCTTGGTGGGAAACCTTCTGATTCTCATCTCCGTCTGCTGTAGTTCTCTTTATAATCAGCCAATGTACTATTTTCTCAGTCACTTATCTTCTGTGGACATCTGCTATACCTCCTGTGTGACACCCAAATTGATTGGTGATCTCCTAGTACAAAGAAAGACCATCTCCTACAGGAACTGCATGTTACAGATCTTTGCCATGCACTTCTTCGGAATAATTGAAATCTTCATCCTTGCGGTTATGGCGTTTGACCGCTGCGTTGCCATCTGCAAACCTCTCCATTACATGATCATCATGAACAGAACCAGATGCAACCTGTTTATCGTGGCTGCCTGGGCTGGTGGGGCTGCCCATTCCTTCTCCCAGTTTTTCTTGATAACCAGGCTGCCCTTCTGTGGTCCCAGTGAAATTGACCACTACTATTGTGATATTTTTCCTCTGCTGAAAATTGCATGCATTGATACCTACATCACAGGTGTACTTGTGGTTGCCAACTCAGGAATGGTTGCCTTAGTAACCTTTGTTCTCTTGTTTGGGTCTTATGTCATCATACTCTTCACATTAAGATATCACTCGGCTGAGGGAAGACGCAAAGCCCTCTCGACCTGTGGGTCTCACATCACTGTTGTTATTTTATTTTTTGGACCTTCCATCTTTGCTTACCTGAGACCCCCTACCACTTACCCTGAAGACAAAATCTTTGCTCTATTTTACACCATTATCGCACCAATGTTCAATCCCGTAATCTATACCCTGAGAAATGCAGAGATGAAAAAGGCTCTGAGAAAAGTTTGGTGTCAAAAGATATTTTCAGAAGACAAACGTAATTGTTTTGTTCCACTTATGCTGAACAATTTTACAAGGCAGCACAAGCTTATTTGATGGCACCAAGGAATATTATTAGATTTTATTGTAATTTTAATTTTATAAGTGCCTGTGTGTAGCATATGAAATTTACATTCGTTTTGGAAGTGGGTGCTTGTACATAACAGTTTGTTTCTTTTATAAAGGCACTTCCCACCCACCTCTCTCTCCCTCTGTCTCTAATCTGTTTTCTCCATCTTTATTCTGCTCATTGTTATCCTTATCTGGTGTTAATGACCTATAATGCTTAGCTCATTGAGGGTAATTGGTACTTGTATATGACATATCATATTCAAATCACTGAATGCAAATCATTCATTTATCAATGTGAAAGATCAGGAACTGAAAAATTATTAGTTAAAGGAAAATTTCACTAGTAAGACTAAAAAGGGGTGGTATCATTCCCACTGTAGGCTAAGGAATGATACTGTTATTAAATAGAAGAATTGATTCTGATTCTGATGCAGAATTTTAATACTTGTTTTCTTTGAAATTTGCAGAGCAGACTGAACAACTATTTTGGCGTTCTTTAGAAAAAGTACAAAGAGGACATACACTAACCTGAAAGTTAATTTATTTTTACCGAGGTTTATTTTCTTCAATATATAAGATGTCCAGCTAAAATTATGACTTTCTAAAATTAACTATATAGTGACAATTATTACACAGATAATTTTGTTTGAGATGTGAAAGAAAGGGGGGATCACACATGTCTATGAAAGTGACACATTTCCCCCACCTCGCTGAGAGATTCCAAAACAATGCCAGACATAGAGACACAAGAAATTAATGTAATTCTTCTGGAAGAATTAGTACCAAGCAAAATGATTTAAAAATAAAAATCTCCCTAAAGTATATATCTTTTTTGCATGTGCTTATCTTCCCTTTATGTTCTGCAAAAGTCAGAGTGACAAAAACACAGGAATATACACACATTAAAAATCATACTGAGCTTCACCATACAAGATGGTAGGAGTTCAGCAATGGTTCTTATACTGCATGTTGTTTTCAGATCAGTCATTCTAATTACCAAATTCAAGCGTGTAAAATTGGTCAAGAAAAAAGAATATTTTAAGCATTGACTGTTCCTCTCACTAAACTACATGCATCCAATGTTTTTTAAAAATTATTTTAATTTTAATTTTTTTTACTTGTTACTGTCTTTGCTTGTTTGATCAATCTTACATTCTTATGTCTAATGGACTGAGCAACTTCACTGAAAATAACAGTATGTCATATGGCAACCCCTGTAAATTCCTATCATTTTGTCTTGAGGTCATGTATCATTTTTGTTGTTTTTGTGTTGTTTTTATTTTGTCTTCATTGTTTTTTTGTCAGTTTTTTTTTAATTTTTAAAATAAAAATCATACCAATACATGCACTGAGAAAATACATTATTTGTAGATAGTGTGAAGAATAGATTTCAAAGACAGATTTTTCCAGAGGAACCAGTGTACATGAACAAGGGATCTTTTGCATAGAGATAAGTAATATTTCTATGTAAACATAGAGAAGGCATATGAAAAATAACATTAACACAAGCACTATTGCAAAACAATTTTTAAAATTTAAAATGCCATAAAACCTTAAAAGATGATTTCAACAGTAAGACAACACAAAAGGTAAGGATGAGGAGGAAATATTGATATGGAATGCAAATTATATCAATTTATTTTGGAGAAGTATTATATCCATTGTAGTTTTTACAAGTTATTGATAAAAATGGTATTGTACTGGATTGTATCACTTCTCTAATACCAAGAAGGCAATATAACAACATCTACATGTTCTGGGAGGAATAGACTGAGCGTTATAAATATTAATCCTTTTCCTATTCTCATCTATGAATTTCAAAGAGAAAATAACACCTTCATATTTGTTTGACCTCATAGCACACATTACCAACATGCTCTTTTTGATCAAATACTTTAAAAATGTTTTTTCTGACAAAATTTTGAAACATCGCAAATGGTGAATCAATATAAAACTTTAAGAGACAGTCAGATGTATTTGACAGATGTATTTTTATCTATCACTGAAGGGCACATCTAAAAGCACTGGAGAAGAATGTGAAGATTGAGTGAATGGATCATTTGTCAAAAACAGTTTGGATGTCAGCGAACCACTTAATCACTGCATGACCCTAGTTATAAAGGTTTGGGCAAAGATAAACCTATTTTTAAAAGAAACTTGTTCTCTTACAAGTCCTTTGGGTGGAAGTTTTCTAAATCCGTACAAAAGAATACTAAGGGTTACGAGGGTTTTTCCCCCTTCTCTGGAATTCTACCCAATTAACAGCCACTCAATTCTCCCAGAAAACACAAATATGCTTTTTGAAGGAAATAAAAGCCATTATCTACTATAAAAACTAGATCCAGCCTTCTCTCCTCAATTTGTTGGCATGAAGCAAAGAACATAGCCTTTAAAAAAATTCCATCAAATTTATTTTTATCACAAAACTTTCTTTGTGTAAAGTTCAGGGTAATTAAATCTGGGCTCCAGAGGACATAGGAAGAGTGACATTCCTAAACTGGCACAGCTGACTATTGCTTTTGTATCATTTATAAGCCAGATCACACTGTAGCTAATCAGAGGTCATGAAACTGGTGAGCTTGTCATTTCTGAAGGTAAATCCAAGCAGGGTAGGAAGAAACAGCAGGGCTCCAGAACACACGCAGACTTCTGCACGCTGGAGGTTTAGTTCGTTCACATCATTTATTTAGTAAATCTGCGAGTTGGCAGTCTCTAAATAGTTTGAATGATGCAAGCACAGGTTGTGATTTGACTCATTTGAATATTTAAATTATTCCATTGCTTTCAAACTACTGGCTTGTTTATCTCAGTTTCCATTGTGTGAAACAATGGCTGAATGAGAGGTGTCAATTGTCTCTAAGGAGAAAACTTTTTTTTCCATAAATAGCTAGTGGTCTATGCAGAATGAAATGGAAACCCAGAAGCAAAATAATCTGAACAGTAGAAATATCAGAAATTTGATGAGGTAAGGAGGACACAACATCAATGAAGGGAAAGGAAAGGATTAACGACAGTTGAGGTTTGAGAAGATTTGTGAGGAATCATTTCCTCCTTCCCATTACCCTGTCTGCATGTGTGGTAGCTGTTTTTCATTTCATTGTTTAGAAAACGGATGACTGTCACGTAAACTTGACTGAAGGCATCTCTGTGAATTGGCTAGATCATTGTATTTTAAGAGTCAAGTGGCAATAGACTCAAGGAATGGTCCTTTGTCAGTGCGGTGTGACCTTTCAGAATGACACACATACAGAGACCTGGAGATCACTTGGGTAGCAAACATCAGCAAGAAAAAGACACGTGTAGAACTCTTAGTAGAAGGTCAATAAGGTACTGATCAAGAAACAATGAAAAAAAAGAAACCCAAGTTACAAGAACAAATAAGATCTTCAGAATAAGAACTACCATGATAATTGATCCCTAGCTGTTGGAAAAATGAACAAACAAAGAAAAAATAAAATTAACCGAAGACTCTAGCGAGGTCACTAAATAAAAACATGAAGTATATCAAAACTTGAGCCAGGGATATAGCTGAGCAGCACAGCACTTGCCTGGCAAGGGCAAGGTCCTGAGTTTGATTTCTGATACAAAAAAGACAAAAAAGATTGAGTATCTGTTTATTTTATCTCTGTTTACATTGTTGCTTAGCTCTGTTGTTTGTAGTAATTATTTTAACACTGATTTCCACTATTGAGTAATTTACTTCAAATCTGTAAGGAAACATTTAATGATTGTTAAGGGAATAGTAGCCTAGTATTTGAGAAGAGATGAACCAAAACAAAGGAATTCAATATAATTATTTGTTGAGCCCCTCCGCTGTGCTGACACACAGATTTATCTAATAATTGAGAGTTAATTCGGCAGAGCTAAACAGAGTTGTTCTCATTAGCAATGTAGTTATCAACATTTCTATGACTTGAAAATAATGGTCATATGACAAAAGTCACAAGGATCTGAGAGATGGGTTCGAATTGAAAATTAAATTTGTGGGCTGAGAGATAGCTCAGCGGCACAGTGCCTGTCCGGCAAACACAAAGTCCTGAGTTTGATGCCCAGTACCAGAAAAATATTAAATTTGTGCATGCATGCTCAGGATTTCTAGGTAGACTGAAAGACAGTTCTTTCTCCATTAAGTGTTTAATTATTATCTTGGAAATTAAGTATGTATAGAGTTTACTGTAGACTAGATTAGGAACTGAAATTTTTTTCAGTCATTGAGGCCTTTATTCTAAGTATCAATAGTATCAAATATTTTCTTACATATTATATATTAAAATTTGTCCCCAATGGATAGAATTTTAAGTGCATTGTCAACTGAGGTATACGTTCTTCAGTTCTTGAGTATTCTAATTTCTTGATAGATGGCTTTGGAGAACTACTTAATATCTCTATGATTCAGCGTCCTCTTTTATAAAATGGATTTACTAATATTTACTTGTTAGAGTTACTGTGAGGATTTTAAAAGTTAATACCTACAAGGAGTTTTCAAAAACATTAGGCACAAGAGGATGCTGGAATTCTAAGATAATGCAAAAAGTATTGGACTTGTGAGTGCTAAATATAGTCAAGTAGATTCCCGACATCAGTACTTACTCTGACCAAAGCTATTGTACAAATCCAAGTAGTTTTTCCTCAACATGTCAATAGTGTGCACAAAAGTTTTTATTTTGCAAGGATAAAGTGATGCAAAATTTTATCTGAAAAGTTGCCTATAAATCACCAGGACTAGAGTCATTATTTTACAGCTTGAAACGCAGAATAAGTAAATGCAAGGTCCTGCTGTGAACTACGATTCCAAAAGAAACCAGGAGCTCCCCCTTTCCAACCTCCATTTTTACGGCTCTTACAGCATCACTGGAGCCTGAGAACTACAGATTCTTTGTTTCTATGAAAGCACACGAGCTGTAGATGACTCTTTATAAACAGCTCAAATTTAAAGGAGAAAGAAGCAGGCTCAACATGGAGATTTTGCTTATGTCAATGTTTTCCTAGTCTTAGAAAACAGCTTAATTTATCATCCCATTTGAAAAATTTACAAATCCGTATTATAATGTCTTTAGTGATGGAAGTCCAACTTTGGATGATTCTGATTAGTAAAAATAGAAGAATAAGATAAATGTGAGTAAAATAAGGATTTTTATATTGAATACTGTTACTTTCTCAAGCTTTTGCGATTGAACTCTGACTCTCAACTCAGAAAATTCTGATTTCTACTTCTGATTTTTTAAATGAGAGTTCAAGGATCTGCATATTTATTTTTATTGGCAAAGTCAGTTCAGTTTTACATTTGTGAAATATTGCTTTCTCTGGATGCAAAGCAGAAATGAAGGCTCTGATTAAATTGACAGAAAAAAAGTAGATGTTTTAAATATCACATATTAACCACAAGTGCAACAATCTAGGTAAAACTGGTTTTATACATTTGCTTTATTTTTAATTACTGTGTTACTATGTGGTTCACTTAAGTACATAAATATGATTTCATTGGATACGGAAATAAAGATAATTATGCGATATTAGCATTTTACTATCAAAATTGCATGCAAGGTGAAAGAAAAACACTTAAATCACTTGGTTGGATTTCTTACTGAGAATTTTTTTTTTACTTTCCTCATATATACACAGATTTTTTTTATTTTAAAGATAAAAGGAGGGAAACATTAACAGACGTACAACATTTTACAACATATCACAAGCACAGTACAGACAATACAGAGTTACAAACAAAGTGGTAGGGAATACACAGATTTATACATATATATTATGTATATAAGATGATATTAACTGTGTTTCAGTTCACTGTACAATGATTTGGAGGTTGAGTATATTCCACCAACTAAAATTTGCACCATTGATAAACTTTACACTTACAAGAAATGTATATTGATTTATGCTTACAGTTGCATTTTTAACAGCATGTGAGTTTGTCATCCAAAAGTATGTTCTTTGTATGGACTTAATTGTATATTGGCAAAAATTGCAAATGGATAATAATTATCAAACAGCTTTTGAATTGTTTGATTGAATGTCAAGTTTAGACACAATGTCCTGAAAAGACAGCTTATGGAATTATCATGAGACTAACTGGAAAAGACACCCCAAAAAACACATTGTTTTATTCAATCTATGATTTTCCTTTTTTGAAACTTTGGAATCTTGTCCATTAAAGTTAGTTTCATACTAAGTTTCATTATCAACATTCTTCATAAAATTCATGGCATTAACTTAAACTTTTGTCTTTTCAGGTGGCTGTTAATGTGTTTTTACTGTCCCAGACCATGAGAAATAGAAATAATGTCACTGTGTTTATTCTACTGGGATTTTCTCAAAATAAGGAGATGGAACTCCTCTGCTTTGTATTATTTTTATTTTGCTATGTTGCTATTTGGCTGGGAAATGTGCTCGTAATAATTTCTATCACATGCACACAGCTAATTGGCCAACCCATGTACTTCTTCCTCAGTAATCTGTCGCTCTGTGACCTTTGTTATACATCCACAGTGACACCCAAGCTAATGGCTGACTTACTGTCAGAAAGAAAGATTATTTCTTACAATAACTGCATGGTGCAGCTCTTTCTCATTCACTTCCTTGGAGGCATTGAGATCTTCATCCTCACGGGGATGGCCTATGACCGCTATGTGGCCATCTGCAGGCCACTGCACTACACTGTCATCATGAGCAGGCAAAGGTGCACCTCCATCATCGTAGCGTGTTGCACTGGGGGCTTCCTGCACTCTGCCAGTCAGTTCCTTCTCACCATCTTCTTACCGTTCTGTGGGCCCAATGAGATAGATCACTACTTCTGCGATGTGTACCCTTTGCTGAAATTGGCTTGCACGGACACACACAATGTTGGTCTCTTAGTCACTGTTAATTCGGGTCTGATTGCCTTGGTGACTTTTGTGATTCTGATGGTGTCTTACCTTCTGATACTGCACACCATTAGGGCTTACCCTGCTGAGAGCCGGTCCAAAGCTTTCTCTACATGCAGTTGCCACGTAACTGTTGTGGTGTTGTTCTTCGTGCCCGTACTCTTCATTTACATCAGACCAAGCAGAACGTTCCCTGAAGACAAAGTATTTGCTCTTTTCTATACCATCATTGCCCCTTTGTTCAACCCTCTGATTTACACCTTAAGAAACCTGGAAATGAGGGCTGCCATTAGGAAAATGTGGCATCATCAAAATCGCTTGGAAAGGAAGCAAGTACTTTGTGAGCCAATGTAGAATTTCACGGTACGGCTCAATACTGGGTGGAAGAATTAATATGGAAAGATGCGAAAGCAAAATTACAGGTAGATGGGAGGAATAGGTTGTAGCGTTCTGTTGCAAAGGTAGATGACTATAATTATTTTACTGTATCTTTAAGAAGAGCTAGAGGAGAGGATTGTGAATGTTCCTATCACAAAGTAAGGATAAAGCTTCGAGGTGAATGGTTACGCTAATTGGATTTCATCACTGCAGATTACAAGTTTGTCATTTAGCATCACACTCTACCCACAAATATGTACAGTCAGTACGCAGCATTTTTTAAAGCACATTTTGCACATGCCGGAGCTCACCAGCCTCCAAAGCTGAGTCTGTCTTGTATTTGCTCACACCGCTCCTACACGGGTAAGGCTAATTGTTATTTTCATGTTTGTTTTTTCGGTATTTTCACATACCTGCTTACGTCCTCCTTAATTTGATTTTTGTTTTGAATGTTAATTAATTATTTTCTTTTACATTTGCTCTCCAGTTTAAGTCTAGAATGCCACTTTTTGACATAAACTAGTAGAAAAACTTGAGGTGAAGAAGATGCGTATTTTATACACTTCTGTTCTCAGGATTTCAGAAAATACAGAAAGCTGATTTTTCCCCTGATGTTAAGAGATGAATGGAAAATTCAATTTCTTTCCCTTCTAATATATATATTAGATTAGTATATATATATAATATATATATATATTTGTTTTCCCACTTAGAAAGCTCCTTTTACAAAATAGGCTCATTTTATTTTTCCCAGAATGAAGACTACATCCTAAACATTCTGGACAGTGTTACTTTCAGTGCAAGTGTTTCTTCTAGCTCAAATTCTACTCTTTCCTCAATATTCTGTATCCAAAGACTGTATCATAAATTGACTTTGTAATGGGACCTTAATATAAAATTACAAAATATAAGAAAGGAGGAAATTAAGAGTGGATATCTGAAAACTGCATGCATATGAAAACGCAGATCGCTGCAATCATCCTTTCTGTAACTGCTCTTGAGATTTTAGTTACCATCCACACGCTTATTTCTGACCGCATCCCTCCTGCGTCTTCCCGTAGCCCTTTCTGTGTGTTCATCTCTGCTGTTTCTTGTGTGTCCAGATTTTCTCTTCATACAGCATGTCCAGTGGAATGAGAGGCTCCCACCCAAACAGACTCATTTAAGATGAATTCTCCCCATGAAGATTCATTCTGTAGGACACACGCTGAGGTGCAGAAATGAGGAAGGGCTTCATTGTGTGGCTCCGGGGGATGGATGTGCACGGTGGAACGAGTGAGGGCCGAGAGGGGATGCGGCCACTACCAGTGCGCCTTCCCTGAGAGAGTAGCGACCGGCACAGACCCACGCTGTGTGAGGCAACGCCATGATGAATAAGGCATTGGTAAGGCCATGGGTTGTTGGAGAAATAAAGCAAATCTAGTTGTACAAAGGTGTCCATATCTCTGTGGACAATTTCTGTCCCTTTCACACTAGGAGGTTTCACTGGAGTCACTTTGCAGCCACAAGGCTAAGTGGTCTCCCTGCGGACTAATGTGGGGGGGGGGCACTCGACATTGGTGACAGGTAATAGTTTCCAAGAATGGTCACAATGATGTTTCCCATTTCACAAGCTATTCTTCCTTATTTATTCATTTTTTAAAATTGTGTGTGTGTGTGCGTGTGTGTGAGTGATTGAGCTACCTGCTCAGCCATTTATTTATTTATGTATTTCTTTATTTATTTTTGAGACACGGTCTCGCTAAGTCGCTAAATTCTCCAACCAAGGCTCATACTAACAGTCCTCCTGCCTCAGCCTCCCAGAGTACTGGGCCAGTAGGTGTCCACCCCTGTCCCAAACTGTATGTGCTGCTCTTATGCTGTGACAGTAGCACAATTCTCATAAGCTGGTGAGGTGCACACTCTCTTCCCTTAACTTTGGGTGGACTTTTATGACTACTTCAAGGAATATGATACAGTATATGTGAATTTATAGACTTTGATGGTGGGATTATTGAAAGCCATACACTTTTGCCTTCTTTCAGTGGAGGTCTTCAATTCATGAATTCCACCTTTCTTTAGAAATTCACATACAGGGTCCATACTTAAATGTGGATTTTTCTGAGCCACCTGGACGAGCTGAACTCCCAAACAAAATCCACTGTTACTCAGCAGATAATGGGGATGCTACCAGTGGATTCAGCTTCTGGCTAATGAGCTACCATCAGCCTTTAGATTTTCCCAGCTGATGCCTTAGACATCATGGAGCAGAGACACTGCTCCTCAGTATGCCTGCATTCCTGGTGCAGAGAAGCCACACGCGTACCCAGTGGGTTGCTTTGTATCACTAAGTCTGAGGCTGTCTGTTACACATCTACACTAGCTACAAAAATTTGGCATTCTGTGATGAATCTTGGGGAGAGAATTTCCACAGCACCCAGCCCTGACAATGGCTTTTATGCCTGTAACCATGGCCACTTTATAATCACCTCAATGAATAAGAAACTGAGAAAAGAGCATGGCTGTCATCCATCAAACAGAAAATGCTGTCTACCATCACAAAACTCTGCAGAGGACAGGCTTTGAAGAGTATTTGCATGATCTGGGTATTTTTATATTTTGTCTAAAAGGTCTATCCATACATATGTTTCTCACACCTTTCTAAGTCTCAGAACATACAATGAAACTATGAACAATTACCAGGAATTGAAATATTTATTTATGTCTTTGATAATCCTTTGCTTACACAAAGTATACAAAGCAAATAGACTGGTCCAAGGTATGTTAACTAAGATTTTCTTCAAACCCCATATTTTTTCAGGACATTTCTGTTTTGGCTTTTAGTGTTACAGTTTTATATATTCAGGTATATCCAAGCATACAAAGCCCTTCCAAGACTTTGTCTCAGTCCAGTGGAGTTTATATGTGTAAACCCCTGGAAAAGCTGTTGGAATTCCAGTAAATAATTCCACCCTACCACTTCCAGTACAATTCACAGCAAGAATAAAGACACTAAGGCATATCTGCAGTTGGGGGGTGTCACAGGGGTCCTAAATCCAATTAGAATAATGGCTAAGCAGAACAAAAGCCTTGGCTCAGGGCAGAACCCAGGCTTTATTAATTCATGGAGAGAGGAGTGGCTCAGGGATGAGTGACTGAGAGAAAGGAGGTAAGTAGGTGAGTGATGTGAGCTGGGATGGGAAGGAGGCCTGATAGCACCTCTGCAGTGTGCACAGAGAGGCAGAAGAGTAACCTGCACATCACAGATTAATTATCTCTGCTCCTGCTCTGATATGTAATCTTAATGGCCTGAGACTTCAGGCTGCTTTTTCCAGGCTCTTTCCCAGCCCACACTCAGCACAGCGCACGCGTACCAGATGGGTGCTGTGGATGGGGTATCCCTGACTTGTAACATTGTTTTAAAGACTACACAGCACCACCATAGCTAGATCCATCTGCATTGCTTAAAGTCAATAGAAGGGACAAGGAAATACCCTAGCCAGCTCTGCACATATCAGTATACAGAAATAGGGTCAAATTTAGCCAAAACAGAGACTAATTCACTTCTTTCAAGGAGAGCTGTCCTGGGGTCCCCCACACCAAGTGTTCATGTAGAACCAGATGTAAACCAACATTATTCGAGATTTCCTCTCCAGTCAACTCCACATGAAGCCACAAGCGTTGACTGAGGGGACAGAAACAATTTGGCAGGAATCTCATGGATATTTCCTAAGCTATTAGTTCAGATCTCTAAGGTATTATTTCAACTTGATGATGTGGCGGTACTAAGAATCCCACACTTGGTGGATGACACCTGTGCTCCTACAGCCAATTCCCATAACATGATCATTTGGTGACTCTCAGTTTACTGTCAGAGGTCCATTAGAACTTAACATCACCTCAGGAGGAATCTCTGCAAAGGCGAATCATCTACAGAAGAAGGTAATGCTTTGCCCCAACACTTTGCATATCACTGTTGTGATTCTCTCGTTAGAGTTCTTGCAAATGCTTCATAGTGCACATCTATTTGGATCTTCTGGATTATAAGACACACAATGAAGTGTTTTCCACGGCAACCTACGCAGGGGACTCATTCACTTGCTTGTACTCACAGCTGGCAGCCACACACTTCACTCAACTTCCCAGAGCATTAACTTGGGTGCTGTAAAGGCTGACTCCTAAATTCCAAAATCTTTTGATCAGTAAACTTCTTTTGTACTAAAACATCTTGCTCTGCATTTGATGATGCCATTATCTTATACCCCAGACACCTGAATCCATACACGACACCTATAGGAATTTTTCTCTATTCAGTTGTTTCATCTGAGATAAGAAACTTAAATGAAAGTCATTCCAGAATGGTTTAGGAAAATCCAGTGTCACCATTCACTGACACATCCACCTTCTTACGTAAAGCCATCAAATTCAGTGAAAGATGCAGCAGGAATGAGTATGCCTGCATCTTTCAAGTTGGAATGTAGCCTGATCATCACCCATCCATTTGAGAGGAGTACCATTCTGGTTACATTATATTCACAGGAAAATCATATCCTATGTGCTTGTTGTATAGCTCAAAACACAATGAGAGCAGTGTAAGCTTCACTAGGAAAGGTTATATTATTTATGAACTTAGGAACAATACAGATAAGTATGGGATGGAGGTACACATCCATGGAATCATTATAAGATGGAATTGGCTCACCTGAGTGGGAAAGGGACACTTTGAGAAGAGGCTTTCAAGAAACTTGGGAAGTGTGGGTGATGTTTTACTTTTACAATGGTGATTATATAAATGGATTCATGTTAAAAGAGTTTTCACAGTGCATACATATATAGTTCCTAATTTATTTAAGAAATGCATGCCAATTAAAACTGTGAAAGTTTTGTGTTGATGAAAAAAATATTTTGCTGACAAAGACTTAGTGAATTAGAAAATAAATTGGGAAATTACTACAGGTACCAATGTAAAATGTTAAAAGGATGATATTAAAAAAGATACAAATTACAGAGAGCAATTAACATATACATATGAGTACAATCCTCTTATTTAATAAGTAACATTACTTAGATGAGTAACTTGAGAAAATTATCCCGTTTTTAGAAAAACCTAATTCAGATGATTTTAAATCACCCACAGATTCCTACTGATTATCTATTGAATACTAGTGATTGTCAATCAGTGCAGTAGAAAACAGAACTATTTGTGACACTCTCTAATGAAATGCAGGAACTTTTAGGCTTGAAATGTACACATTTCCTCCAGGGCTGTGCTAGTAGAATCAATTTTAAGAAAATAAGTATAATCTTGCAAGGAAATAGGTTCAGATGAGGTTGTTATGTGATCTCCAGGTAGTAAGAATTTGTTCTACTGTGTAAACAAATTGGGGAGTGACTTTTTGTCAGGATGTGTCAAAGAATCCTGGTGTTCATAACTCTGATTCACCACAAATGTCACCTCAATTTCAGCATCTCATCTTCTCAGGGCCCTCTTAGTGACAAATAAACTGCAGAATTATGGCAACGATAGATAAGCAAGATGAAATACTAATGCATTTTAGTAGTGGTGTCCCCATGGAAATATCAGTTTGAATTCTTGTCCATACAGAAAAAATTTCATAAGAGCTTAGGAAGCAGCACCTGGATGTAGCACAAAATAGGGAGAGATGAAGTTGTACCTGTTGGCATACTCTGTAATCTCAGCTACTTGTGAGGTTGAGGCCGGAGTCAGTAGGTTTGAGGGCAACTTAGGCAACTTAGAGAAACACTGTCTCAGAAAACAGAAAGAAAAAAGAAAAAAAGGAAGGGACAAAGGGAGGAAGGAAGGAAGAGAAGTAAAGGAAGAAGGGAAACAAGAAAGGCAGGAGGGAAACAAGGAAGGAAGGGAGGAAGGAAAGAAGGAGGGAAGAAAGGAAAGAAGGAAAGAAGGAGGGAGAGAAGGAGAAATGGAAGGGAAAAGACAGAATAAAATGGGCTGCAGCTTAGTGGTAAAAGAGTGCTTGGCTAGCAGGTGCCAACACCCTGAGTTCTACACCCAGCACCACACACACACACACACACACACACACACACACACACACACAAAAGGAAAGATGTGTTGGCAAGAAAAAGGACAGCTTTACATTCTTTACGAACCCTCCTGACACCACACTCCATAGATAGAGAGAAATGACGTCTGTGTAGGCAAAAAGAGGAAAGTGAGTCCCAGGCTTTACGTGGTTTTGGACCATGAAGGAACTGACAGTAATGTCCAGCATCCCACCTAGGATTTAGTAAAGAAAACTAAAAGGCATTGAGGAGTGCATTAAACAACTTGTGCTTCACACAGAAGAGACAAAATGAACAGAAAAAAATATAATTGAAGAGATATTACAGGAACGTGTTAGACTGGAGACTCATTTCTTTCCTGTCTCCATTACTACATGTAATACATGCACAGTGAGCAGCGAAGTGTGGGAAGTGTTCTGATTTAGAACAATGCCAGAGCATCCTGCACACCGATATGTGGCCTTGTTGGGATCTGGACTGTCCCTAAAGTGTAGAAGGGCTCGTTGCCGGCTAGTGGGCTTAGGGGCCATGATTGGTCCATACAGGCTCTGACTTCATAGACAGCTTCAAATCTGATGGCATCACTAGGAGAAAATGGAAATTTAAGAGCCTCCGGGGGCCTGGCTTTGAAGACCACAGCTTGTGCCTGGCACCTTCGTCTCAGACTCTTCCCCTTCTCCCTGCTGCCTGCATGATAGGAGGTGAACAGCCCTGCTGGATTGCTGGATCTTCATCCAGAGTGCGCAGCCAGCTGACCATGGACCCGCCCTTCTGAAAACATGAGCCAGAGTTAAACTTTCCTCTTTAAGTTGTTATTCTCAGGTATTTTATCACAGAGACCAAAAGCTTGCAAACTATCTCTGGTAGCTTGGGGCTTATATGCGATAAGCCAGCAGGAAATACAGAAGCAGAGTACTTGGCTGTATTTGATTGGTTCTTACAGTACGTATCATAGTGACCAGCTATGCATCACAGTGATCAGCTGTTTCTAGGAGACAGAAGTAGTAGGAACTGCAACAGAAACTGTTACCTGGGCAACTAACAAACTCGCTGGGGGAGCATTTTCTGCTACATTATGAGTAAAATATGACTTTTTATTAGTTATGAGCCTTCATGTTCAACTATAACAAGCACACATCTTCTAAAACAGAGGCCCAATAAACCTAAGGCTTTGCTGTCCTCTTATCCAAAACCCTATTTCCTGTGCAACAGAAATGGCGATGTTCTCCCACATGCATGATGTTTAAGCCCTATCTAAAGTACCAGGATAATTGTCAAAAACTAGGTTGGAAAACCAAGAAATGCATTTGAAGACATTTTTCAAAAGAAATTTTATCATGTGACATTTTCAGCTTTAATTGTTGAGCAGTTCATACAGAATCACAGCGTTATGCTATTTCTGTTTGCAGTTTCCATCCACCTTAACTTTTAACAACTACTTATTTTACTTAGATGTCTTTCATGCTAGCCTGAAAATAAATTCTCCTGTCATACGCTTAATGTTGGTGGGGTTTCCGAAAAGCTTTGAGGTCTTCTGCAATCCAAGCCAACTATCCAGTGACCCAATTTTGATATCAGCCATTTTTTCTATCATATGAATTTGCCAGCAACTTTTCAGTTTTATAGCACTATAAACAAAAACAAAATTGTGTTGTAATATAAGTGATACTTTCTTCCATACTTCAAGAAAAATAAAATTTAGCTTTTCCTCTAACAGGATCTTGCCACTAGTATGAGTGTTCCTTGATGTTTTTATTTTCTGCCATGAAAGTCACTATCTCAGTGGTCATTTTTCTGATCCTAAGGAGACCTGTGGACTTAGAATGTGCATATGCATTTTCCTGTGTCATAGCCAGTGTTTCAGCCCTTCACATGTAACTGTGGACAACAATGAGACTGTTGTGCTACTACTGTACCTTCATGTTAGGGAAGGTACACAGAGCATAATGCTGTCTGCCTAAAATACCAGTGAGCATTTCTGCATCTGGAACTCAGGTTCTCAAGCAGCACACTACCGTGTGCTAGAATTAGCCCAAGAAGTGTGATGGATTAGTATATGAAGGAAGGTGCAACAGAACAAAAGAGGGGATCATTATTTTGGATTTAAGGAACAGAGCTGGGTTTGGGAATGTGGGAAACTCAAGAATGCTATTGGTTACTATCAGAGCATGAGGTGAAGGTGATAAGGAGTATTGCTGTGGCCCCTCAAGGGGAGCTGTTACAATATGCTCTGATGTAAATACAAATTGGAGTTGCTTTTTAGTTATGTCTGGAGCCTGGGTCTGATTCACTGAACACCGTCACGTATGATGGTGAGCTGTTCAGGTCCTCGCTGCTCATGCGTGCTGCACACTCTTTAGGGAGCCACCTACTGAATGACAGGATGAGCTGACCAGCCAACAGGTCAGTGGGACACAGGAGGTAGAAATAAGAAAGCAGAAAATGAAAGATAAGAGAGAAGAAGGTTGGGAAAAATCAAGAGAATGGTAAATTTTCTTCAGTCACGGTCCTATACGTATCCTTTCTAGGTAGAAGTCACATGGTGAGATTTATGAATTGTAAAGGTTTCAGGTAGAAGTGGCATCTTCACGGAGCTGGGTAGCGAAATGTAGGGACATCTTTAACTCTGTTTCTTTTACTCCCCGTGACTGGGCGCCATAGTTTCTTTGTGGCATTCTTCATCTCCGCATTCCTCAGTGTGTAGATCAGAGGGTTCAGCATGGGGGCAATGATGGTGTAAAAGAGAGCGAACACTTTGTCTTCTGGAAAAGTAGTTGCTGGGCGAATGTAAATAAATAGTAGAGGAGAGAAAAAGAGGACCACCACAGTGATGTGTGAGCTGCATGTGGAAAGGGCTTTGCAGCGATTCTCGGCAGAGTAAGGCTTGACGGTGTATAAGATCACTGCATATAAGATCAGCAGGACCACAAAGATCGCCAGACCCATTAGGCCAGAATTGGCAATGACCAAAAGCCCAGTTGTGCTTGTGGCCATGCAGGCCAGTTTCAGCAGAGGATACACATCGCAGAAGTAGTGGTCGATTTCATTGGGGCCACAGTAGGGTAGGAAGAAGGCGAGGATGAACTGACCAAAGGAGTGCAGGAATTCACCCACACAGGAAGCCACCATCATGAGCTCACACCTCTGCCTGCTCATGGTGATGGCGTAGTGCAGGGGCTTGCAGATGGCCACATAGCAGTCATAGGCCATCCCTGTGAGGATGAAGACTTCAATGCCCCCAAAGAAGTGCATGGTGAAGAGCTGTGTCATGCAGCCACCGAAAGAGATGAACTTCTTCATTGCCAGCAAATCACCAATTAGCTTGGGGGTCACAGTGGAGGTGTAGCAAAGGTCCATCAGAGAGAGGAACCTCAGGAAGAAGTACATGGGCTGGTGGGTGAGTGGGGAGCACGAGATGGCAATACTCCTTATCACCCTCACCTCATGCTCTGATAGCAACCAATAGCATTCTTGAGTTTCCCACATTCCCAAACCCAGTTCTGTTCCTTAAATCCAAGATAATGATCCCCTCTTTTGTTCTGTTGCAGAAGTTCTATTTCCCCCTCCAGTTCTTTTTGAAAAATCCCTTTTCCCTTGCCTATCTCCTCTTTCCTACACCTCTGGTTCTCCAAATAATTTGAAAATGATCTCCCTACTTCCTACACTTGATCTTAGCCAAAAGGCTGAGAAGCGATGATCTCCCTACTTCCTATTTACTTATCTTCTATTTTGCTTTATCTATGCCATAGAATTTCTGATGTAAAAGAAACCATATGATATCCAAGCTTGCAGTTCTGACACTTAATATTATGGTCTTAAGTTTCATCCTTTTACCTATGAGCACTCAAGTTTATCTTTATGGCAAAGTAATATGCCATTGTGTATAAACAGTTTTATACCTAACTCTTTTCATCCTAGTAAATTTATCATTGAAATCTGTGTAAGAAAAGATAAAAATTTATCTATTTTGAGTGGAAATTAATTGCCACCAAATGACCTTCAGGAATTTATCATACCAAATAATAAAGAAGAGGTATTTCCAGTGGACAAATAAGCCATTTAATTCAATCAAAAGCATTTATTTCAGTCTACTGATGGATCTAACCTACCTTAACGCTTTCAGATTCTTATAAAGGAAAAGATGAGATCGTATCTTAAAAGCACAATGTTAAGTGTCTTTTCACACTGAAAGTGGAACATAAATAGAAAAATTATCAAAAGGTATTTTATAACAAATTATTTTCTCATATTTCAGACAAAACACATTAATTTAAAAGATAATCATAAAAATTAACCAAATCCAGTTTATTAGAGGAAAGGGTATTTTTATTGGACATACTATTTATTTTTAAAATAATGTTCAAAGCCCATATGGTGCACGGTTCAATAACTATAATCTATGCTCCTGAATCACTGGAAAATATTGTGTTCCCTATTGTCAAGGAGTCTCTAGAAATCTGAGAAGGTATGACTCCTTCATGTATATAAGACCCATTTGTATTTTCACATTTTTAAAAGTATTGCAATGTCAATTTATCAGTAAGTATCCATTACAATATTGAGTTATTCGGGTGACAATACCAAACAATCTCTTCCATCTCACTGTATGTCTGACAAACAAATATACCCCTTTTGCAGATTTCAATGTGTACTTAAGTAAAAATGAATGCTGAGTGTGGAGTAATCTTGATTAACTTCCTCGGCGTCTGACCTCTTCTCCAGTTCTGATGGTTGGTTACTTTTCTCCCAAACACAACTAAGAAATTTATAGCTGCACACTGAGACTGGATCTTTCTGTCTCACCGAGACCGTAGTCTTCTGATACTGAAGTCAGAATAAAGCTCTCTTCCTTCCAATCTCCTTCACAGCATGCTGTCTTCAGCTCCTCAAGCACTTGTGTCTTCATGCCACCCACGCTCTCAGAAATCTCCTCGGGGCCTTCTGTTTAAAACTTAGTATCTCTCACCAGTATTTGTGCAGACTCTGCTTTAGGGGAGCTGGACTTTGTCATTCATAACTGAGACTTATTTAAAATTCTATCAGAACTCCCACTATTTTCAAATGCAGGTTTCACTGACTACTGTACTCTCCAATATAAGGTATAACCAGAACTTCTACATCTTTTGGTTCTTTTAACTGCTTACTTTTCTTTATAGTGCTTATTTATTTGGTTGATTGTGTGGATTAATCAACATGATTATTTGGCTGATTAATGTCATAGTTTGATTCTCTAACTTGGTGAGTGTGGAGAACACAGCCTAATTTCTCCTTATCTTGGAGATAAGCATCAACATATTTAAACTTTATTTTCATTATTGTGAAATGGGAAGGAAAACACAAAATTGTGTGACTAAATTTTGGTTGAATCTTGGGTGTTTGGTCTTTGAACTAATTACGCAACATTTCTCAGCATCTCATTTCTGTTTGTCGCATAAGAAAAATAAAATTGGCCACCTGTTGATCTGAGTAAAGTCTAATGAATTTATTAACCATTGAGTGTGCTGTGAGCAGTATTGTGCTAGGTGGGCAAAAGATGAAAATCGCTGAGGGGTTACTTAAATTTCTGGTTAGTAATTTAGAGACCCCAGGTGCAGACCTGCTGTTTGTATGTCAGAACCAGAAACTAGGTCAGACACAGAGGAAGTTCTTAAAGATGTACCTCACACCCAACATTTATATATACTTAAATAAACATTGAACTCTGCGAGAAAGGTGAGTCATATTTCTGTTTAGTAATTGTCTGGTTCTCTCATAGTAGTGTTGTGAATAACTAATTCAGTCAAGAATTAGGAAGGATTTTATGACAGTAGCTTTGTAGTATAATTTCAGGTCAGGGATGGTGATTCCCCCTGACCTGTCCTTGTTGCCCAGGATTGCTTTTGCTATTACCGGTCTCTTCTGGTTCCAGATGAATTTAAGGCATGTTTTTTCGAGATCTGTGAGGTATGCTAATGGTAGATGAATGGGAATTGCGTTGAATCTGTACAGCAGTTTTGGGAGTGTGGCCATTTTCACAATGTTGGTTCTTCCTATCCATGAGCAAGGAATATTTTTCCATTTACTGAAAGCTTTGATCTCTTTTCAGAGTACTGTAGTTTTATATCATGAAATATTACTCAGCTATAAAGACAGATAAACTTGAGGCTTTTATAGATAAGTGGTCACAACTAGAGACCATACTCATAAGTGAAAAATATCAGACCAGCATGTGCAAGCGCCACATTGTCTCACTAGTGTAAAACCTGAAAGACTTAATATAAACCCGGAGGTATGATAGACATTCTGAAATGATAGGAAAATGCTCAAAGGTAAAGGGCAACTGGGATGTGGGAAAAGAGAAGGGAAAGAAGGAGAAATTTTGTATGTATGTATATACAGGATCATTAACATAGTTGTTCTACTGTCTTCTATTTCTTTGGTGAAACTGTCAGTGAGTCCTTGATTAATGAGTATTGCATGTCTCTATTTGTTTTCATGAGAAACCCCTTTGAAGATATCAATATGTAATACAACAAGCATTGTTAATTTCCCAACACTTTGTTTATAACTCTGTATGGTCTGTACTGTTCTTTTGCTATTTTGTAAAAGGTTGCCTGTCTGTTAGTGTTTTCCTCTTTTTATTTTAAAATAAAAAAAGAATTATGAAGGATTCAATAAATTGAGATATATGTTAATATATAATAAACTGGATAGCATCTGGCAGCTTCCCTTTAAAATATTAATTCATTTCCATTCTTTATTGCCCTGCACTGTAGTTTGGTGTTTTAATTACTATATATATATATATTCCTAACTAATGAGTGAGTTATAGTTTCAATACTTGAAAAATGAAATGGAAGTTAATTACAATATATGATGTTATTTTAATCATTTGGCATTTTAAAGAACTTTGAAAACATAAAAATACAGAATATAATCAAATGATAGAGAGGGTGAAGTCATAGTTTAGAACAGTCATTCTAATTTCTACTGGGTCCTGTGTATTAGCAATAGAGTGATCAGATGAAACTCATAATTCAAACTTCCCCCCGTTTCTTAGTTGTCTGATGTGTTGTGGATACTACACTCTTAATAGTAAAACATGCAATCACTGTCTCTAAAATCATGCTGCTCTCCTTTCTGGGTGGTCTCCAAACTATGCAGAAGTAAACTTGGCTTTGCCTTATCCTTAACACTTTGACTTGTCCTGGAGAAATATTGCAATAGTCTTCACTGATTCCTTATTTTAACACAGAACACAGGTGTAGATAAAGTACGTTAAGAAAAAACAATGCTCAAATATAAAAAATAAAAAACACAACTTAAAATATGATGCATTCTGACAATTGTCAGGCATTATAACAGGTCTATGTGCCATGTGCTCTATTTCCCTGAGTTTTACTTGTCAAGTTCTATCGAGATCCTTCCTGGAAATACAGATCACAAAGTTCTTCCTTTTTATATCCCCTTGACTGTCTTAAAATCATGAAAAACACTACCACTGCTCCAGTTTGAAATGACTTAGCAACTTCCAAGGATAAATGACCATATATAGATTGTGCAAAACTGAAGTGGTCTGCATTACTGAGTAAATGGAATAACAGTTTCACTATTAATTGCTATAAATTTATGGTGTGTGAGTTTTACTTAAAGTTTCCAATAAATTATAAATTCAAAATTTTCATTAAATTTATACTTTAATAATAGATTTTAAAACTATAAGTCTTATTATTGATTTTCAGACAATGTTTAACTGGGGGTTGCTTAAATGAAATTTAACTTGTGTCCATTTCACTGGGTGATTGATTTAAATCTAAATTGTAGGCAATGATCCATGACTACTGTAACTCAGAATGCATCAGTAAATCCAGTGAACAAATACTAAGGTATGAACTTACCTACATTCAAAGAAAAGGTGTCCAATTTGATTTTAAAGGAATTCGAGTCCTTTGCCACTTGTATCTTAATATTCAAGAGAGGAAGATACTGGTATCTTCATCATTTATATTGCTACTTATTATTTGCCCCTCCTCAAATAATGCCTGCAGGAAAAATGAAAACCAAGACAATGCATGACTCCTATTAACTCCCAAACAGCTTTTCCTGGGAGATATTGAACATGCAGAAATGTATTGCAGCATCTCTGCAAATCTAAGAATTCTCCTTGGGATTATGTGTCCATGGTAGTGATACAGGGGAAAGAAACTCCCAACGTGCTAGATGTCTGGTACAAGTTCGTGCTCTCTAAAATAGAAGAATGAGTTTTAGGAACAAAGGAGGTTAAGAGCAGAATATATTTACTGGGGGAAGAAAAGCTTCTGTCTGTGAAAGAGACAGAAGGGGTCCAAAGTGGATTGCTAAGAATCCTGCCTTTTCTAGGGATTTTATAGAGCAAATCCATGACCTGAGGCAGGTCCAAGGGGGGAAAAATGTGAGGTGAGCATAAGGTGGGACAAAACTATGGTCAACTAATAAGATTATGAGTATGATTGTCCAGGAAAAGTGATTAAATCAGGACTAGATGGGGGAAAAGAGTCATGTAGCAAGTGAGCACGAATACAGTACAGGGGCTTTTCCTGAAGGGGCTTGGGTTAGTGGCTCTTCCTGGCTTTCTCAAGGTGATGATTCCCATTTAGAATATCGTGCCCTGATGTTTATCCTTAGGAAGCATGTGGGTGCATTTTTCTTTTATTCTGAGGTCTTGCTCACAGGGGAGATGCCTCTCTCTCCCACAGTTGTAAGGCATTTCCTCTCTGCACTGGCTCCTTTGAGGGCCTGGCCTTATCTGACTACCTACAATATTTCATCTAACTTAGCTTCCTACAACAGTAGAGCAGAATATTTTTAATTTTGTTCAATTGTCTAAAAATAATTATAATACACAAGTCATCTATTTCACTGTGCATACATGGAGACTTACATGAAACCATCTTGCATTCTGCTAGAAGAATAGATGAGAAAAAATTGATGACATGGAAGTAAAGAACCTAATGCACACAATTCCAAAAAGGAATATATATATCTCTTATTATCTAATAAAACTTTAAAAATGTTAACACTGTCAAACTTCCCCTTTTGAAGTATTTGGCTGTTCTTATTCTTCCAACCTTTTGCCTAAATAATCCACTATGAACATCATCTCTGTGATGCAACATATTCTTAAATCTTTCTATTTTTTGCTTTATATTAAATTAATTTTATTTTAAGGGATATATAAATACAAAAAGGAAGAGGTAAACAGAATAGAAAGAAAAACTGGAAACAAAGTTTTGTAAATGAGAAAGGAAGAAGGGTTGAGGGAGAGGAGGGACGTGGGGAAATGAAGAAGAATCAAGATACATGATGTGCGGGTACAACTTCCCTGGGGTGAATGTGATCATTATGTATATCGCTTAAATTCAAAATTAAAGTTAAATTCATTATTAATGAAATAAAATTTCAACTTAAAAAAAAGTATGCATATATCTGGGGTAATATGTGATGATGCATGCAGATATTATGAAACCACACAAATACATGAAGGTTGAATAATGCACTCTGGAATCCACAATGCGTCACCAAAGAAATCAGGGGAAAATTTTTTAAATGTTTAGAGTGAAAAAAGAAGAGAAGCACAAGGTATCAGAATGTGAGGGACACAATGAAAGTAGTTCTAAGATGTATATTTATAGTTTTTAGCACTTACCTTAGAAAAACAGAGTAATAAATAATAATATAGCAATAATATAGTAATGCATAGAATAATAATATAGCAATGCAGCTAAGTAATACCTTAGTAATACATCTAAAGGTTCTAGAAAACCAAGAACAAACCAAGGGTAGCAGAGAAATAACAAAAATCAGAGCAGAAATTAAGGAAACTGCAACTTGAAAAAACAGCACAAAAGCTCAATAAATTAGAGTTATGCCTTAAATTGGCAAATCCTTAGTGAAATATTCCAAAAGAAAGAAAGGAAGGACAAATTACAAAAACAGAGATGAAAAGAGTACAATCAAAATGAACACCACTGAAATCTATATGACTATTTGAAATTATTTTGAAAAGCCTCTAAAAACTAAACGAAGCCAGGACCAAATGGAAATACCCTTGAATTTGCTAGACCTTTGGAAAAAGACTGATTCCAATGTTCCTCATAATTTTCTATGTATTTGGAAATGGGAGAATACTTTCAAAGTCAGTGTTTGAAGTTAGCATTACCTTGATACCAAAACCAGATAAAGACTCAACTGATAGTGAGACAGAGAGAGAAACACACACACACACACACACACACACACAGAGAGAGAGAGAGAGAGAGAGAGAGAAAGAGAGAGAGAGAGAGAGACAGAGACAGAGACAGAGACAGAGACAGAGAGAGAGAGACAGAAAGAGAGAGAGAGAGGGAGAGAGAGATTCAGGCTAACATGCTTGATGAGAATACATGCAAAAATCCTCAATAAGATTCTTGCAAAGAGATTACAACAATTCATTAAAACATCAAGCCTCATAATTAAGTCAGTTTTATTCCAGAGATGCAAGGTGGTTCAACATATATGGATCAATACATGTAAGATATCACATAAATAGACTCAAGGATATAAATCACAGAATTATTTCACCAGACGTGGAAAAAAGCTTTCAACAAAATCTGACACCCCTTCACGATGGAACCTTTGATGAAAATACGAACAAAAGGATCTTAGTTCCAATACTTAAAAGCCATGGAAGACAATCTACATGTGGGACATCATACTGAAGTGGGGGAAAACTAAAAGCATTTCCTGTAATCTCAGGAATAAAATAAGTCTGTTCACCGTCACTACACCTCTTTAATTTCCTGTTTGAATTTCAGTGAATATAGGATATGAAATCATTCACTTTCGCTTTTGTAGACCAATAATGAACCCCCTGAGAAAATAATCAGAAAACAATTCTGTAAATTCGAGCACTTCCTGCCTACCCAGCCCCCACGTTGCCTGCCAGGAGAGGCACCACTCTCGGAAGGAAACAAAGTTGTCATGAAGGAGAAAGCAAGGATGTCAGGAAGGAGGTAAGATAGGACAAGGAATTTTGCAGGTCCTGGAACATCTGGAGACATCTGGAGACACTGGTGACTGGACACTTCAAAGACTCTGCCCTGTGAGATGCAAGCTTGCCAGAAAACTTTAACCACAGATGTTCATTGGAATGTCCCCTGCCTTCTCCCCATCCCCATAAAAGGGACACACTTCTCTTTTTTGGGGGCAAGCAATCTTATTGTCCTCTCTGCCTGCCTGCACCCAGGCACAATAAATTCCACGCCCTGCTGCCTTTACACAAGCCTGGTGGCCTCTGTTTGCCCCTCCTCCTCCCTGTATATTATATATGCTATAAATCCCATTCACAATAGCATCAAAAAATTACATTACTAGGTATCAACCTATCAAGGAAGTGAATGACTTCTACAATAGAAATTGCAAGATGCTGAAGAAAGAAATTGAAGACTTTAGAAAATGGAATAATAGCCCTGATCTTGGATGAGAAATACTACGAAGAAAATGGCAATACTGAAAAAGTAATCTTTGCATATAACAAAGTTTCTATTAAATCAACAACAACTTTCTTTCCTGAACTGGAAAAAAAAATCCTAGAAACCATGTAGAGCCAGAAATGATCCATAATAGCCAATGTGATCCTGAAGAAAAAAAAAAAAAAAAAAAGAACGCAGAAGGCATCACAATCCTGGAGGCCAAACTGTCTTTTAAAGTTACGGTAACAAAAATAACAAAGCACAGTACGGGCACAGAAAAAGTCTTATAGACCAGTGGATCCAATGGATCAGAACTGAAGACGCAGAGATTCAGTGAAATGTAGGATAAAAATATAGCCATCTAGGTTTTGGCAAAGGGGCCAAACACATACTCTGGAGAGAAGACAGCTTCCTTAACAATTGGTGCTCTGAAAACCCGACATGAATTTCAGAAGATCGAAACTAGATTCCCATCTTTTGCTCTGTACTGGAATCAAGTTAAAATGGAGAAAAGGCTTAGATGTATACATAGAAATTTCAAAACTGCTGCAAGATGACATAGAGGAAACATTTGAAACATAAGCCAAGGTAAAGACTTCCTGAGTAGAACACCAATGGCACAAGAATTAACATCCAGAATCTTAAAACCCAGGAAACAAATGACCCATTCAAAAATGTAAGAACTCAGAACTAAAGAATTCAAGCATTGATCCTCGTAAAAAGTCTGTCTCAAAAAATGGCAAATAAACTGAACTGAAACTTCCAAAAGATGAATTACACATAGCAAATGAGTATGTGAAAAAATATTCATCCACATTTCCCCTTCAGAATAGTTACATCGGGAATGTAAAGGAGACAGACAATGGCATTATAGATAGCTAAGTCAGGCAAAAATATTTTAGGCAGTGAGAGGACTGGGCCATCCACAGGAGGTATTAGGGGGAGACATAACTCTTGGGGAGGCACATTTCTTGAAGTCCAGACCCCAAGACAAAAGATAGCATGACTATATCTACATACTTCCCCTAAAGATGAAGAGCAGTGATCGATATTCTCAATAAGTGTTCAATGCCTTGAGTCGGGGACTGAAACCTCCCTTCCAGGAAACATCCCTATTGTTCCATGCACACTTGTTAAGTGTCTTGCTTCCCCTTTTGACCTCCGTTTAATCAATATTACCTTAACTTCTGTTGTTCCTAGAATTCATTCTTCAAAATTAGAGAACATGAGCTTGGCATTCGGGACATCTTGCACGGTAACAGGATGAGAGTTACAAAATTTTCCTTATATTACTTGGAATATTTGGAAGTCATATATCATCCCTGTATCAATAGAGAGTAGGGAGAGCGCTTTTGCAAAAGGCAGGGGAACTAAGTGATGGAGGAGGAGGGAGGGGAAGGAGATGGAAAAAGGATAAAGTTGTGTCATGCAAATGCACCTACTCCTCAGGAGGGACTGTATACTGCAAACATGTGCTTATAAAAAAAATGAAAATTGAAAATAACACTGAAAAGAGAGTGTTAGTGAGGATGAGGAAGAAAATAATTGTCCTTCCTTTTTTTAGGGAATGTAAACTAGTTCAACCACTGTGGAAATCAGTTGGCGATGCCTCAGAGGACTAAAAGTAAAAATGCCATCTAACACAGTTGTGCTTCTTTTCCACACAGCTGCAATGGAATGAAAGGAATCATACTCTAGTGATTGTTATGGTTTGTGTCTGGATGTTCCTCAAAGCTTCATGCAGTCATGGAGGGAGGGTTTTTCAAAGCCAGCTTGTGAAACCTGGATCTCTTGTTTTCATGTCCTCACCTCAGAAAGCAGGATTACAGGATTTCCAGCTCAACTCAGCAGGGAGCCAGGGTCCTCACTTTATAAACATCCTCAGCCCATGCACGAGGAGGGCAGAGAGATGGTGTGAGTGCTGCACCAGCACTAGGGCAGGTAGTCTGCACACAGTATAAGGGAGGAAAAGAGGCTGGCTCTCCTCTGTTTTGCTCTTGCTGCTTTTGCTGTCTTCCGCTGCCATGAACCTTTGCCCCTCTGAAAACCACGCTGCCTTGGAGCCAGCTAACTATGATCTGAAACCTCTACAAACTGTGAGCTAAATAAACATTTCCTTCCTTAATTTTGGGTGTCAGATATTTTGCCTCAACAAAATGATAGACAAGTAAGTAAGACCCTGACACATGTATACACAATTTCATGGTGTGGAATACACTGTAGATGCCTATCAGCCAATGAATGGATAAAGAAATTGTGATTTACATGCAGTAGAATAGTATTCTGCCATAAAAATATTTAAATCATATTGTTTGTAGGAAAATCAAATTCAAAATCATCATGTAGAAAAATGGAATTCAAGATCATCATGCTAATTGAAATACACTTACTCAGAAAGTTAAATATCATAGTTTTTAATATACAAAACCTAAAAATAAATAAATTAATAAATAAAACAATGGAGAGAGGGCAGGATAGAAGGTAGACTTTTGGGCAAACAGAGTGGGGGGATAGAAGGGAGAAAGAAGGCTTAATGGGACTTAATATACTCCAGGTGCGTCAAATGCCAAAGCTAAATTCTTGAAACAAATTGCACAATCCTGTGTTACTAAAATGAGCTAAAATAAAACATTAAACACAAAATGGTGTAAAGGATTTGAATAGATATTTCTCCCAAGTAATATCAAAATGGCAATAGGTACATGAAAGATGCTTAACACACCTAGTCACTAGGGAAATGCAAATCAAAGCCACAATGTAATGCTGCATCACACTCTTAAGGACAAATACTGTTAAAAAAAGAAAGGCAGAAAAACTTTGAGGAGGTCCTAGAGAAGTTGCAGGTCCTGTGCATTGTTGTCACGAGTGTACAATGCGAAAGGCTGTGTGATAAACAATATGGCAACTTATAAAAAGTTACAAATGGGATTTCCACAAGATTTTCCAATTGCACATCTAAACATATGTCCAAAGCAGAGTCTTGAAAGGATATTTGTACAACATCTGAGGAGAGCCAGTATCCACTGGGAAGGATAAAGAAAAGCCATAAGGAAGGGAATCATGTCATTGCAGGACAACGGATGGAAGTAGAGCCATCAGGTTAAGTGAAATTAAATACATGCAGTAACTTTCCTAAGGATACCTCATCTTTGTGTAATATTAACCTAGGGTAAAAACTTTCCAATTTTTTTAGATGACAACAATAAAACAGTATATATTTGTCACATACACTGAGTATTTGGTATGCACTTTATTTTTTTTGTTTTGGTTTTTCTCCAGTACCGAGAACCGAACTCACGACCTT